TGAAATATGTTTATTGATTTCTGTATGTTAAAACAACCTTACATCCTTGGGAAAAACCCCACTTGATCAAAGTGAACTATCTTTTAAATTTTTTATGTGATTTGYTGGTGTTCTATTTAGAATTTTTGCATCTATGTTCATTAGGGACATTGGTCTTAAATTTTGTTTCCTTGATGTGTCTTTGTCTGTATCAGGGTGACACTTATTTCATAGAATGATTTTGAAAGAGTTCCCTCTTTTTCTATATCATAAAACAATTTGAGGAGTATAAGTGTCATACATTGATAAAGATGCTGCACATCAGTGCAACCACTACGGAAAGCAGCATCAGCCTTAAAGGGATATATTACTCAGCCTTAAAGAAGAATAAGGTGGAGGGGGAGAAGAAAGAATAAAGGTACTTTTGATTAAAAAAGGGGACTGAAGAGAGAAAAGGGAATATGAGGGAAGGAAGGAGAGTAAAATGAATTGGACATTATTAACCTATGTGCCATATGATTACACTACTGGTATAATTCTATCTGTTGCACAATCAGAAGAATGAGAAGTTATACTTCATTTATGTATGATATGTCAAAATACAWCCTACTGTAATGTATAACTAATCGGTTCTAATTAATAATTAAAAATAACACCCAAAATAAAATAAAATAAACAAATTGAAAGGAAACAAAAAAGTTCACATGTGAGTAATGGTATAACAAAATGATATGTCTTCAAGCTGACTCTGCTCAAGGAATTCCCTGATGTAGTCAGTATTAATAACACCAGATGTAATAACAATAAACTATATATATGTTATCCCATAATGTATGAACCTGTGTTCTCTATCTGTTAGATTGATATAAATACCTCATGTGTTTCCTTAAGGTATTAGAATTTTGATGACAACTATGMATGATTCGATTTAGTAGATAATGCCTTTCAATCTTACTATACTTTATCAAGTTGCTCCTCTTGATACAGATAATGGCAAACTGGAGTGAGGTATGAAATATTGWGCTCATGAATATATGATGCCCAAGTTTGTATGTCTGATTTCCACAATATAATTGTACTGATATGAATTAAGGATTATCTCTTCATTGTTATAGTAAATGCTGTCAGTATATTTATTTAAAGATTTCATCTAGGAATTGTTATATATTAGAATAAAATGTATATCCACATATTGGAAAGTATTTGTTGTCTTTGACTAAATTATAATATAATATAAAAATATTCCTTATAATATATTACTATCATCTGTAAAGTCACATATCATTCTATGTATACACACACAAAAAGATGTAGATTAGTTTTATCAATATAGGTAAGTATTTTTAGGTAGCCTGTTCCACAAATGGTGATGGGAAAACTGGAAATACAAATGTAGCAGAATGAAATTGAACTCCATTTCTCACTSTGCACAAAACTCAAAACAAAGTGCATCAAAGACCTGGGCATTAGACCAGAAACCCTGCACTTACTGAAAGAAAATGTAGGCCCAATCCTCCAACATGTTAACTTAGGAACCAAATTCCTCAACAAGACTCCTTATACAAAAKAWGTAAAATCAAGAATCAATAAATGGGAAAATATCAAATGAAAAATATTATTCAAAATCAAAGTGTGAAGAGATAGCTCACAGAATAGGAGAAAATCTTTGCCAACTGCATCTCAGATATAATGTTAATATCTAGGATATATAAAGAACTTAAAAACCATATAACCCAATCAATAAATGACCAAAGAACTGAACAGACACTTCATGGAAGAAGAAATATGAATGATCATCAAATATTGAAAAAGTATGCAATACCGCTAGCAATTAGAGAAATTCAAAATAAATCTACATCGAGATTTTATCTCACTCCAGTCAGAATGGAAATTATCAAGAATACAAGCAACAATAAATGTTGGTGAGGATGTTGGGAGAAAGTGCACTCATACATTGCTGGTGGGACAGCAAATTGGTGCAACCACTCTGGAAAGCAGTGTGAAGATTCTTCAAAAACTGGGACTGGAACCACCATTTGACCTGATTATACCACTCCTAGGTACATATCCAAGGGAATTAAAACCAGCATACTAGAGTGACATAGCCACATCAATGTCTATAGCAGCTCAATTCAAAAATAGCTAAGCTATGAAAATAACCTTGGTGCCCTTCAATAGATAAATGGATAAAGAAAATGTGATATACACACATATACACACAATGAAATATTACTCAGAAACAGAAATGAATGACTTTATAACATCTACTGGTAAATGATGGGACTGGAGCCTATCTGGCTAAGTAAAATAAGCCAATCCCCCCAAACCAMATGTGTAATGTTTTCTCTGATATGTCGATGCTAAAACATCATAAGGATTGGGATGAGGGGAATATAAATTCAGTAGATTTGGCAAAAGGGAATAAAGGGAAGGAAGAGGGGAGAGAAATAGAAAGACTGTGAATGAATCTAACATGTTCAGTGAATCTCTACATCATGTACAATCACAAGATTGAGATGTTAATTAAAATAAAGGCACTTCATGTTTGTATAAATATGTCAGAATATATTCTACTGTCATGTATAACTAAAGAGAAAAAATAAAATAAAAGAATGCTATCTATTATTACAATTATTTTGCTTTTATAAAGCTTCTCTATCCATGCATGTTTGTGTAATGGTCTTAGATTTCTTCTCAGTTTATCAGTTTGCTTTTGAATAAATATAATTTTATTGAAAATTTTCATAACGTACATAATAATGTATTTATAAAATCTGAACAATTTAGAGTAGGGCATGATGCCAACTTCACTGTGTATTTACTACCAAAAACATACCAATATATAAACTCCATAAAATTATTAAGCTGTCATCTATCCATAGACTATAATCAAAATTTATTCATCACAMCTTTAACATTCTTTAAAGCAAAATGATATAGTTTAGAACCTTGCATGACATGTATTTGTCAGTTCTCTAAAACATTTCTTCTGAGAATTCTCTAAGGAGTCCTTATTTTTCATGTAAGATATTCTGAAGTGTAGTTATTCAGTAGTAGATGGTTCCTCAATTTGAATTTGTTACAAATATCCTCAAATATCCTAATTATGTTCTTTGGGAGCAGCATCACAGAAATTATTCTTAGTTTTTTGGATGCCTGCTAGTACAAAAGTATAATTTTCTCATTAGTAGTGATATTAATTTTGATCACTTTGCCAATTTGTTACCTATTAGGTTAATCAACTATAATGTTACTATATTTATTTTCATAATAAAWTTTTAATTTAAAGATAGGTACTTTGAACTATTTCCACTTACTGTTTTCCACTTGACGTTCACAAGTTTACTTTAGGAACCACTGAAGCTTCTTGGATGAGTTAATGAATAATATTATGTTTTCTATTATGAATGTTATGTATTTAATTTGCTTTTGTTTTAAGGCACTACAAGGTTTTCCAAATTTATCTTTTATTATCTCTTTTCCAGTGTGGAAGCAGCCCTTCCTACAAGGATCCCTAGTTACTCTGAGTATGATGCTTAAGGAAAGAGATCTGACTTTTAGGAGTGTTACATCTTCTGTGTTCTCTCTGGATAGAGCTACCTCAGAAACTGCTTTCTAATGGTAATCCCAGAACTGAGAAGCTCTTTGTAGGAATGTTTGAAAACAATACATAGATATGCACACAAACTCTTCTACTTATTTTCTCATTTCATGTACATTCCATGTACATGAAAATGAGATGTCACTTATACGTTCAATACCAATTCATTAGCACAGGATCATTTAGTTTGTTGCTCTTTCTTATTAAAAATTATTTTTCCCCAAAGTAAGAAAATGATGCTATATATATGCCATATATGTATGTACACACACACTAATAAGACATATATTAATATGTATATATACAATAATAAGATATACACTATGTTTTATATATATATATATATAATTTAATTAATGTTTTTGGAAACAGTAATTCTTTACATCTGACAGCTTATGTAGACTTCTTGTAACCCTGATCAGGCTCCAGCAGTCCTTTCTACCCTGCCTGGGTCCTGCTTGCCATAGGCCCTCAGATGAGCACTTTGTGAACAGTTACAWGGTTACATTTTGATACATTTATTCAGCCAGGCCCTCTTACCATGAAACAATGGAGCCAGATTACAATAACTGAAACATATGAAAATGTGAGATGAAATAATTTTTTTCTTAAGTGTTTCTTCATAGTGATAAAAACTTACTAAAATAACTTAAATATAAGAACTTAGAAAATGATTTAAAACTTCTTTACAGAAGATAAAATTCTATTAAAGCTTAAAATTAAAGTTATTTGCTGATATTTTGTATCTAATATTGAAAGGCATTTTTCTATTTGAGCTTTGACAAACTATACTTGAAAATRGTATTTCCAGATTTCTAATCAGTCTTGTCAAATCTAATAAATTCTATAAATACATAACTCAATAAGATCATASCCTAATTACCAGTTAAAATTAATTTTTATTCTTTGTTTTATTATTTCTAYATATTTAAGTATTAGAAGCACAACAGGCATATTTTATGCACATTAACTATAATGTTTTCAACAAAAGTTATGTAACTTTATATTTYTTGTTAAAAATTATTTCATTTTTCATTTTAATGACCAAAAGTTAAMAATATATAAATCATACTTTATTTTCTTCCATTTTTTAATTTTTAAATTACTTTGACTAAATTTTTACTTTATTTGAAGTATAATATGATTTCATAAAGCATATGTTGTATAATTCATTCACAAATATCTCATTTATACATTTGGGCAAATTAGATTSAAAATTTAAAAAACCGTGATCAGTAAATATTGTTCAAGTCTTCACTGTATACCACTGCTTCAGACTTTCAGGTAACAGCTATGATTTATGAAAATGTTAAACATTTGTTGATATWTAAAATTAAATGATGCCATTTTATCAGTTTAAAATTTCATTTCTTAGAGAAATATTTTGTGAAATCTCAAAAAATTATTATGCCAGACTTACCAGCTAATGCTAGAATATATTCTTGAAATCTTGTTCCTATACGGTTAGTGGCTGTGCAGTTATATCTCCCAAAGTCATTGTCTGATGTAGGTGCAATCTAAAATAATAAATTGTAAAAGATTCAATACTGAAACATCAAAGAAGTTAAAAGAGACTTTAGTATGCTTACCCCTTGCACATATGTTCAATCGTTTACTTCCTTGCACTTTTCTTAATCAAGTATTCATACATATTATTAATTCTTTTAAATGTAATCTGTGAAACTGCACTATCCATAGGACTAGGTAWATCATGGTTTACCTAATAATTCATTAACTGGATGAATGTTACCATTTTGATACATCTATCAATAGCAAAATCATTAAAATTTGCTATAGGTAAAACATAAAAAAATGACCAAAATAAAGGTTGCAACCAATATGGGTGTGAACTTGAAAATAGGAAGTTTGCACCAAAGCAGTGTTAACTTTGCTTTCTGTTTTAACCTCAGACCAGGCTAATTTAAAGTCCAAAAAAGGCTAAAAATATCTAAGATTTTTTCTCGTTTCTTGAGTCTATGAACAAAAATASTGACATTAGATGAGGAATCATTCTCAAAAAGTCTTTCCAGGAAACTATTTTGCAAAAAAAAATATTATTCTTGTGCAAATATCTGTAGACAGGCATTTTTTCTTCATATTTAATAACAGTATCTTGCTTCCTTATCCATTCAATTCCTATCATTCTCTTTTAGTTTAGGTGGAAAATAGCTGACCTTGATCTTTACACATTTGAAATCCATAATTAAGTTAACCTTTGGGGGTTCTACTGGTGAAGAGTGGGACCAACCCTGTAATTCTAATGTACAGAAATTCTGAAGTATCAATTCAGGAAAGAGATTTGATGATGATAATAGATATAATTTTCAATTTCAGTAACTATTTTTAAGATAGAATATGCTTACAATAAGAGAGGCTGTTAATTTCAACTTTATCCCAAAAGAGAGAAAAATGATTTTGTGGTAATGGGAGGCTATTAACTAAGAGAGCAATTTTGAGGTCCATTGAAGATGATGATTCTGAGCAAGTACAAAAAAGCTGTGTCATTCATTCTTCTAGTCAGCTGTCTATATAGGAACAAATCAGGCTAAAGGCCCAGAAGTTTTAACAGCTCTTACGTAASTACTTCTAAGTGATTCAAATATGGATTTTTCTTATATGTAGCATTTAATAAAACAGGCTATTTTAACTCTAAAGTAATTCTACAATCTTTCATATTCTCCAGTCATATGAAAAAGATTTGAATATTCCATAAAGCAGAATGTTATTTATTGAATCAATACAAAGCAGAGGCAGGGTGGCCACAACAAAGAATTGTGCCACCTGCATAGCCCCTTAAGATAAATAATTTAAATATAGACTTTTACATTGAAACCATTCTTAAAAAGGCTCAGTTCACTTTTTTCCCTCCAGGGAGTTCAATTGCCAACAGGCAAAAAGCTTTACAACTGTACCCTAAATAAGGTAAYTCCTTTATCATATTGTATTGTTAACAAATACAGAAAATACCCATCATAGCAAAGCATAGCTCTAGATTTAACCTGGAACATATTTGATGTATTCTAAGGAATATAATATGAAACTGAAGTCCAGTGTTTTGATATGCAAACTTAGCATTCTAAAATATTAAAAAATTATCAKAATATAATCCACATATCTGTGTTTATTATAAAGTAATAAGTAAAAAATATTCACATATGTAAAATGTGCAGTCTTGATAATATTTATTAAGAAAGTACTAGGAATATCTACTCATAAAACTTTTTGAAATTTTTTTAAATATATACAGTTCAAATACAATTAATTTATGCTGTTAGCATTTGACCTAATACAGTTAAAAATTACTCTTGAACATCAAAATAAAAGTTGTAACCCAATATYAATATTAATATAGGGAGTTGGCTTACTCTTCMTAAGTCTGTACAAACTGATTTATTCTTTCTATGTATTGTATGGTTATAAAATCTTATATAAAATAGTCAGAATCTTTTACTGAGGACATGATGCAGATGATCTAAAACTGAATATTATTCCAAACAACTTATTAGAAATTTCCTTCTATTGATTTTGGCTGTAAATCTGTTGAGCACCTCAGGATATGTTTGCATAAAAAAAACTTAAAAAATGTATAACCTTTACAGGTGTATTTTTTGGCAATAACCCAAATGACTCATATGGTCATATGTAAAAATTCACTCATTTAAAAGGTTAAGTGTATGCAACTTTAGAAGAAAAGGAAAAATTAAAAAATCAAGAGGTCTATTATTGACCAATTATTATTAAGTTTAAAATTGATTTACTTTTCTATATTTTATTATATATTTTTTAAAATCAGCACTTACATGGCTACTGTAATCATTATAAAGTAAAGATTATGAAAGGTATTATCTCAAGCAACTATGTATGCTAACAACTAAAAATTAATGATGTRTTTTGTTCCTCTTTCTTTTGGGTTATTGTTATATTTTCCTTTCAAACTGTGAAAGTTCCACATCTGTATTTTTTTTTAATTCAAGATTTACATTTAATTTGTGTACACAGTATACACATAAATCAATGTTTGTTCAAAGCCAGTGCTTTAACTGAAAGCTCCCTGGCTGAATGTAAAAAAATAATTACATTATTTTTTTCACTTTGTGCTGGGGAGAAAAACCATTTAGACAGAATTTTAAATAGCATGACATCTTTACATAAATAAAATAATTAAATGTTGTATTTATAAAATGTTTCTTGATTTTAGCAATGGAAATTTATGAGGTGCCTCCAGAAACTCAATGTGTCAAAATGACTAAAACAGAAATTAAACAACAGCCTGTCATTAAGAATGAACTTRAATCTCTCTGCTGTGGACTTGAAAGAGTTAAAGAGATACTATCACAAAATATGCARAATTGGTATATTGATTATTTCAAGCTRAAACCACTTGAGGAAGTGTAACTTTAGGAAGAGCCATATACATGTATTTTTGCACATGCAGGAAGCCATAAAGATTTTTTGAGGAGAAATGACCTTCAATATCAAGAATGGAAAATAGCCTTAATCACCAGAGACTGGTAAATGAACCTGAATATATAAACTATTCAAAGTATTTTTTATCTTTCGATAGCTTCTGTTTCTCCATATATCTTCAGTTACATTGACAGAATTAATTACCTAGTCCACTGTCGTGCCACCTTCACAAAATTATTATTATTATTTTTTTTTTTGCAAGCAGAGAGAAGGAGTGGAGAGAATGAAGTGAAGTGGTGAAGAAAAAGTGCAGAAGTGAAGTCTATTGTTCTTTCTCTAAATTTATAAAAGTAGTTCCATACTTCAGAAGCTTGTGAAGATCCACATATACRTGTAAAATTAATAAAACTTTTACATTTATCCCTTGCTAATCTACTCATGTATGGGTTGGGTTCTGAGAGTCTTCCAAAGAGCCCACATAAGAACTAAGGGCTACAAGTAAAGGGGATCTCTCTCTCCCCTACAGAGTGCATGTGCTCCCCTCAACTTCATGTCTACTGAATCCCTAATTCCCAGTGTGACTAAATTTGGATATAAAGACTATAGGGAGGTAATTTAGGTTAATATGGTCATAAGGTTGGGGCTTAATCTAATAKGACTGGTATTCTGATGAGAGGAATAGGCAGCAGAAAGATCTCTATTTCTCTGTGCCTGTCTGTCTTCCTTCCTCTTTCTGTGTGTATATGAGGAAGAAAGACAAAGTGAGGACATGGCAGAAAAATAGCAGCTACAGGTTAAAGAGTGAGTCCTCTCCAGAAACCATTCCTGTGGACATTGATCTTGGACTTCCAGCTTCCAGATACAAGAAAATGCATTTCTGTTGTTTTGTCATCCAATCTGTGATATTATATTGYGACAGAGGAGAAAACAAATCTTCTACCCCAAACTGAAGTTAATTTAACCTGTTTAGAATTTWAAAAAAATCCCTGTTCAAAAGTCTTTGTGAAATTACTATCCACATCAATTCACCAAAAGCTAGTTCTTCTAATACAATTTTAAAGAAACCGATCTAAATTGAATTAGCTTATACAAATAGATTTATTATCAGTTTACTTTTCCAAATATATGAAGATGTGATGGTCAAATCATTCTAGCAACCAAACATTTTATTAAATCCAGCTACCAGGTAGAAGAGATACTCTGGGGTACCAATGAGAACACCATAAGTTACAACAGTATGTATATCAGGTATTAAAATGTACATTAAAAAGGTGCATTTCTTTTAATTTATGTAAACCGAATTAGTGGAAAATGTATCAGTTTTCATCTGAATAAGTTTTTAACAAGATTACCAATTTTTCCAGCAGCATCATAAATTAGAAAGGATGATAATCATTGTCATAGACTTGTAGAAGCATTAGGCATTAATACRTACACACACAAATCTGTAATTACTAAATAAAAAGACTATGATTCAAACAGTTCTTAAAATCCAGTCACCTGCCATTATAAAAGAGTTCTTTCAAATCAGAAATACTAAATGACATAAAATAAGTAAACTTGGATTATTCAGGAACCTATATCAGAATTATAAATATACAGCTATCAGATAATAGATATACTAGTCAGAAAAGAGCACAATTACTGAAACAAGAATAAGTGAAAGCATAAAAACTAAGGCTGAACTCCTGYCCTTGAAAATTGTCAAATTATTAATTTTTTCTGATATTTTTCCTAATAATGTTTTTCTCTCCAAAAATAAATCCATGAAAGATAGGTATTTGCAATATAAACATATTTCTATACAAGTAAATGTTAAAATAGTCATAATAAACACATCATTATCCAAATATATAAAATTTACCTTTAATAAATAAAAATGTGAAATATACAAATGATGATGTCATTATATGTGTAAATATATTTAAAATAATAGACACATGCTAAAATAACATAGGTTACTGATGTTCGCAGTAAGACTTACCTCTAAGATCATCTTTCTTCCTGCACTATATGTCTTTAAATTAGTGGTATTTCTAGCTGGTAAGACTAACTTCTCTTTCCGCCAATGGATTGATGCTGGTGGATTTGAGTTCACGTCACAACTTATATTGATTGGATTTCCTTCCCAAGAGTAATAAATTGTTTGGTTTGATATAAACTTAGGAGCATCTGTAAAATAAAACAAATATAGAKTTGTTTCCTTTAAGATAATCTCTAAATTAGTATAAATATTAGCAAAGTTTATTTGATTACAAAACAGCCATAACTCTAATTTTATATACTTAATACATGACATTGGAACTCATGAAAACATATAATATTTGAATATTTCACCACACAATTTTCATATTATGAATGTGACCAATATCTTGGCCAATTATTAAAACATTAAACAATAGAGTTGAATTCCCTCTTACCAATTTAGTAAGAATATTTATTAATGAAATTAATAACTACCTACATAGAAAGTGTTTCTGGAGCAATGCATAGTATAAAGAGCAAGTTTAGGATAAATTTAATAAAACCAATGGTTACTGCATCATTATTTAATCATATCTTCTTCATAACAATCTTTCTATAAAACATTGTGAAGTAAGTATGAAATCCTTTGACTACAATACAAGTGAWCTTATGAATGAAGACACGAATTGGTGTGAATATACTATGTATACAACCAGAGATATGAAAAATCRTGCTCTATATATGTAATAAGAATGGTAATACATTCTGCTGTTATATATAAATTTAAAAAGTAAAAAAAAAACAAGTGAACAAATATTATTTTTTAAAGTATCATATATTTAATTTTTATTGAAATTAATATTCTAAATAAATTCATGATAATTAATTAAAATTAACCAGTYCCTATAATTTCCCATATTTTCTATGACAGAAGTTAAGGGAAAACAGACACTATATGGGAGTATTTTAGAAATGCTCTCTCAAAATATTCCCAAGGGCTATACTGATGTCACATGAGGAAGTTACTGCAGGAAGGATCATCTTACTTGTCTCTCTACAAGAAGCAAGTCACCAAGATTTTTTCAGGGGAGATACCTCTGCATACCAAGGTTGGAAAATAATCTAAATTACCACAGTGTAGTGATTGTGGCTGCAATTAACTTAAATAATAAAACTGTGAAGAACCCTTTATTCTATGAGTTTCTAATCTGGAACTTTCCAGGCTACATCAGATAGCCATTCATTCTGTCATTCCTTCACAAATTTATTGTATTTTGACTACTATATATAAAAACATMATGCTTTAAAACTTCATTATTTAAAATTTGTTATTTTATGAAGAACCCCATGTACATGTAAATTAACAAAACTTTTATGTTTCTATCATGTTAATCAGCTATTCTATAAATTGAGTTCCTAGATTAATGAAAGAGCCCACAAAAGATTTAAGAAAGATAGAGGGTCTCTCTCTCTCTCTCTCTCTCTCTCTCTCTCTCTCTCTCTCTCTCTCTTCGACTATAATTTTACATCATTTTATTGCAAGATCCTAATTTTGAAGATACACAAATAGAGTAACCTCTTTGATTCTTAATTTACTGACTGTATAGTTATCTGAGAGGAATAATTATTTATTTCAAAATAAAAACATAATTCCAATTTAGGTTGTAGTTWAAATTGTATGTAAATACTTATTACTGTTAGCAATACTAGCTCYTAGAACTTAACAATCCATCATAAATTATTGATTTTCATTGTTCTACCTTTGAGCATTTTGTTTACTGCCCATCTATATTCTGTTTTGTTAAATTTGCTTATTATATTTCAGATATGTAATATAAGAATTATAACCTATAGTACAAATCCACTTTCAGAATCCATCACATTCCTTTTTAAAATTTAGATAATTTTATATTAAAATTTATTAGTAAAAACATAAAAATATTATGTATGAATAAGTACTATATGATGCTTTAATAAATGTGAATATTCTATGATGTTGAAATCATGTCATTCATATATATATAATATCTATTATTCCTTTATGGTGGAAACAGTCAAACTTTTTCTTCCAGCTTTCTGAAATATACACTACCTTAATTGTTACCAATAATCATCCTAGTTTGTAATGACACATTGGAATTTCTTAATCCTACTTAATTGTAACTCAGTTACCAAATGATCAAGCTTTTCAAGTTCCTTCCTCTACCCACCCTCTCTAATTTCTTGTAACCACCATTCTACTCTCAAGTTTTACGACAGAAACTGTTTTAGATTCCTCATATGAGTGATATTATGTTTTACTTTTCTGTTCCTAGACCATTTCACTTAACAAACTGACCATCAGTTTATCCGTGTTTTAGAAACTGAGATTTCATCCATATTTAGGCCTAAGACTATTCACTGTGTATATTTACCATATTTTCTTTATCTTCTTATCAGTTAATATACAGCTTGGTTGTTCCAATTCCCTCTTTGTTGTGAATAATGCTACAATGAACATGAGAATATAAATGTTTATTTACTGAATTGATTTTCATTAGGTAGTAGGACTGCTGGATCATATGGTAGTTATTAAAAAAATTTGTAGACTAYCCTTACTATTTTCCATAATGGATATGCTAATTTACATTCCCACCAAAAATTGTGTAAAGATTACTATTTCTCCATATTCTCAATACCACTTTTGTAAGTTTTAAAACAACCACTCTTATTGAAATGAGGTGATATCTTAGTCTGGTTTTGATATGAATTTCCCTGATGATTAGTGATGGGCAGAAAGTTTTCCATGCTGTGCAGAAACWTTTTAGTTTGATGTAATCCCATKTGTCTGCTTTTGCTATGGTTTAGAATCTTGTACCAAAAAACCTAATGTTCCCATTTCAATGTCCTGAAGCATTTTTTTTCTATATTTTTTCTAGTAATTTCATAGTTTTGGATCTTACATATTGGTCTTTTGTTCATTTAGATTTGACTTTTATAAAAAATAATTGAGATTCAGTTTCATTATTTGGCATATTTATATCAATGTTTCCYAATATGCTAAATTCAAAACACTGTATTGGCTAATGAGTATTCTTAGTACCTTTATAAAAAGCAGTTGGCTGTCATGTGTGGGTGGATTTCTAGGCTCCTTTTCTGTGACATTTATCTATATCTGGTTTTACACAATGCCATGTTGTTCTGACTACTGCAGTAATGTAATATACTTTGAAGTAAGGTAATATACTGTCCGTCATTTTCTTCTTTTTTCTTAAAATTGTTTTGGTTCACACACACACACACACACACATACACACATTTAAACGTGTGTGTGTGTGTTTCTATAAATTTTTTTTAAAAACTCTGTGAATAATGATATTTTTATTTTAATGGGCATTTTGCTGAACCTGTAAATAATTTAGGGTACTATAAATGTTTTTAACACCATTGATTCTTCAAACCATGATCATGAAATGTTTTCCATATATTTATGTCTTTTGTGATTTAATTCTTCATTGTAAATATTTTACTTTTTAGTTAAATTGATTTCTAGGTAGTTTTATAGCTATCACAACAGACTGGTTTTTTTCAAATTTAAAACCAGATATTAATTGTTAGTACATAGCAGCACTACTGAATTTTGTATGCAGATTTGTATTCTAAARTTTTTCTGTATTTATCTATTAATTCATAAGCTTTTTGGTAAAGTCTCTGGTGTTTCCTATCATTTAAACATAAATAAAAAGATCATCTTAAAGATTCATGATAACCACAAAGCAAAAGTCTGTGATAGTCAAATAACAAAATAGTGAACAAGGAAACAAAACACTCTATTAGAATAAATCACTTAACCACAAAGAAGATTGCTAAGGAAGGACAAAGAAAAAGAATACAATAGAAAAATAAAATAGGTTTCAAAATGYTTACAGTAAGTTCTTAAATATTGATATATTACCTTCAAAGCTAATTGGTTAAATTATCCACTTAAAATGACTAAGTTGATTTTAAAAATAGTGTCAACTGTATGTTTCTTGTCAACAAGAAACCCATTTCATTTTTTTAAAAATCTTTATTTTATTTATTTATTTTTATGTGGTGCTGAGGATTGAACCCAGTGCCTCATACATGCTAGGTGAGTGCTCTACCGCTGAGCTACAACCCCAGCCCAAACCCATTTCATTTCTAAGGATAGAATCTGAAAATGAAAGGAAGGAATAAGGTAATTCATGATAATGGAATGAAAATGAAAAAAAAAAAAAACTAGTAGCTATACCTAGATAAAACAGACTGTAAATCAAAAGCAGTAAAAAGAGAGGGAGGGCCATTATATAATGATAAAGGGCCACCTTAGAAGAGATAACAATTCTAAATATGTATGTATCCAATATAAGAACGCAAAATCTATACAGCAAGTAATAGACATAATGGGACAGATAAACTCTAGTATAATAATAGGTGATTTAACATCTAATTTTAGCAATGGACAGAACAGCCAAACAGAAAATCATAAACAGTAGACTCCCACACTCCCAGAAAGTCTCAAGCACCAAGCAAACAGAGCAGCAAAAGGACAGACAGGCCCCAGTATAACTCAGCCCCCACCTCCAGGGATATATATTGACTCTTCCATCAATCAACTGGTATGATGGAGTGCACTGCACTGTTTAGGCTACTTCTTTCTCAGCCTGGCCACAGATCTACTTCTGGATCCATTTTTTGGGGAATAGAACATAGCAGTTCAAAGGAAGCCACACTATCAAGGTAGCTTCAAAAGATTAAATCAAAACAGAAATTCACTACCAATAAATTGAGTCTACAAAGCTCAGATGAAAAAAAGGACATTTTCACTTGAAAAAGGTGATCTGAGTACTGGGAATAATTGCTGGCTAACACTGTGGAGGTGGTACACTGAGACAAGTTAAATTTTGATCAAATCTGGTGTACCCTTAGTCATTTATTCCAAGCCTAGAAAGGACTGAAGAATAGGCTAATACATTCCACTCTCCACACCGTGGCACATGATCTGTGAMTCCAGAAAGAGAGAGCATCACAGATGTCCAACCAAGAATGGAATGAAACCCTGCAGTGAAAGTATGCTTACAGACTTCCTAAAAGTTTGACCATTTTGGTTTAGAGCTCAGGATAAATGAACTGCACAATAACTAAAAACTCTCCCTAGAAAAAAAAAAAAAACACCCTACATCAAAATCATGACCAAGAAAAATAGA